TCTATTTCTTGCTTTTTCAAGAGACCAAATTACCTTCTACTAAAATACAATATCCAAATATAGAACGTATATTAGAAGGTGATCCTGACCGATCAGCATCTGTGTATCCAATAATATGCTCGTGGTTGCGATCCTCAAATCGTAATCCTTTGCCTGGAGTTGATTTTATATACCGAAGATTACGAGACTTATAACACTCATAGGAAATGAAATGTCAGGTCTAGTCAGTGTGAAGTAATTCAATTTTCCAACCAATCGTCTATATCTTGAAGGATCGCTAAGAGGCTCATCCTGTCCTGGCAGAAGCTTAGCATTCAGATCCTTGGGAGTGCCAACAGGTATGCAGGCCATCATTCCTTTCTCCTCAAGAATATCTAAAGTATATTTTTTTGTGAAATAACAATATCTGAGCTAAACTGAGCGACCTTAATACCTAGAAAGTACTTCAATCTACCTAGATCCTTAGTCTGGAAGTGCTGAAAGATCTGGTCACGTACTGAATCAAGGTCATTAGGAGTTCAGCGATCGTAAGAACTAGAAACATCGTTTGTCGTTGGTCTTATTGCTTTTCAACACTAGCAGAAAGTGGCATCAACTTCTCAAATTCCTCCATGACTGCCTGTACTTGTCCCAGGTAAGTAGATATATCCAATTCCTATTTCTTCAAATTTGTCATTCGCGATATCACATCATAGAAACGAGATATGTCATTAGTGTATAAAGTACGAGATTTTTCCCATACTAAATGACATGTCTGGAACGGACGAAACAAAGGCATCAACTTGGAATCAATAGATCGCCACTAGATACTACATAGTTGAGCATCAATCTTTTCCCACTGCGCTTTGGCCTTTTCATCTCCCTCACTATCCTTTTTGGTTAAGTGATCTTGAACACCTTGACCTTTACACCACAACTTAACAGACGAAGCCCAAGACAAATAATTTGATCTCCCAAGTAAGGGTTCACAAATAATCATAAAGGTTAAATTTCCAGCTCCACTATTTTTGGAGCCAAGAACATCTAAATTGAAAGACATTATTGGATTGAAGTGAGTTCTAATCGACCAAATCAATAACCAGCTTCAACTAGTCAGGAAAATAACTAGAAAATTCCAGAACACCGTTTCTGCTGGGAAAAAAGGACTGTAGTTTCCGAAAAAGTTTTAAAGTGATCGGATTAAAAAGAAAATAGTATGGGTTGGCTCGGAATTGATGGGAGATTTCCACATGCCGACGCATATAGTAGATCTCGCCAGAAAATCTGACATCCGAACGGTGCGTGAGAGTGCGTGAGCTGTCGGCTGCCGGAGATTTTTGTTAGGGTTTGGTCGTCGGGGTTGGGGGACCTTATGGTGATGTTGGTTTTTGCAAAATGCCAAGAGAAATTTATTTGCCATAAATCTTCACTATAAAGTCGTTGGAAATTGACTCGCGGCGACTGTCCGACTCTCCCAGATGTATCTCACTCACGCTGTGATACCTTGTGAGAAATAATACACAGGAAAATCATATTATTGACCTATTAACAATGATACAATGAACACGATATATAATACATATTCTACTCCTACTACATATGAGATTAGGACTATTTACACATAACTATCTAACAAGGACTAAACATATTGAAATAGATTGTCACTTTGTAAAAGAAAAGATACTCTCAGGAGATATTGTTACAAAGTTTGTGAAGTCGAGTGATCAGCTTGTAGATATTTTCATCAAGTCCTTTACTGGTCCCCATATTAGTTATATTTGTAATAAGCTCGGTACATATGATTTATATGCACCAACTTAAGGAGGAGTGTTAGATAGTTACCATAAAACTAGCTATATAGTACTATGTAAACATTATATATGAGTAGGGCTATAGTAAAAACACTTAAGACATCAATAATATAATTTTTTTCATTATTTCTCACAAGTACCTTTCTTCAAAGGCTTCTCCACTTGCATGGATAATTGTATAGTTGTGGGTGGAGTTATGTCATTTTACTAAAAAACTGGTCATGCACTGAGAGTTACTATTGTCAAAGCAGCTAACTCGTCTACGCTCATCATAATGCAGGCTTTAAAACTTTTAGGATAGTGACATTTACCTTAAGGGGAATCGGGTGGTGCTTGTGAAGGATGTACGGATAGTTGGTAGGTTTCATTGGCAAGCAATGAAAACTCATATCCATCTCATTTTGGCATGGTGCTAGGACACTTTATGAAGGTTTTGATGAGTAAAGATCAATTCTCTCTATTCAATAGGCAATGAAGAGAACGACATGGTTAGGTTGACATGAAGTCTCCTTCAAACTGTTCATACTAGCTCTGTGGGATGATTCAGCCATAAATTCTTTGTTTTCTATAAAACTGCATAAATAAGTTGTTTGGACCTTCGAACTGTATACTAACTGTGGAAAGAGTAAAAGAAATAAACATGAATCTTTTTGCTCGTACGGACTGCATTGTGCTTGAATATACTTTCTATCAAGTAGCAGGGTAATATCTGTTAAAATTTCTTCTTTTCCCCATTAAATTGTTCTCTAAGTTGAAAGATGTTCTCTTTCCCTGTGTTGTTGTAGAATAAGACTCTTGACATATATTCTTCCCCTGTTGCAGATTATGTAACCTTCAGAATTCATCATATATTATACTAAAACTAGAAAGCTCCTATGTTCAAAGTTAATTTACAATAATATTCTTTAAAATTTGAGATACAATTTTGTCCCTAGAGAAAAATAAATATTTAATTAAGTAATTAACTTTTACATGATATGTTAATCACAGATTTAGAAGTGGAACAGTGGTACTTTAATACTTCAAACACTCAATTCAATGAATCCAATTAGGGTTGAGGCAATTCATATTCTCCTTTAATTACTTCACAAAAACGTTTCTCATCATAATTATTATGAAAAACGTCTCTCCCTACTTTTTTCATAATTTTCTTAACTACATTTCAGTTATGTTCTTTCATCTTCTACGGTAGAAGGAATTTTTTTTGTACAGTCCTTTTATATTCTTTGTATCACTCTATAAAAGCACACATCCAAATTATCCGATCACTCTATCACATTTCTATTGTTTCTGTCAAAAATCTGTTTCCCCAAAAAATCCATTTGTATATGGTCGAAATAGATTTCGGCCTTCCTACGTTCGATCGAGTTCAAGTGGTAAGAAATCGGAGTGGGATTTTGGGAGTGAGCTCCGAAGACAGTACTAACGAGCCTCGAGTCCGAAGGCTGCTCGAGGAGTCGGCTCGATAACCTTATCGAGCCCGTGACCAAATCGATCCGCAAGGCATTGCTTCGAGGTCGGAAATACGCGACGCCCATCCCGAAGGTCGAACTCGAGCCAAGACCGAAGGGCTCGACCCAGTAACGAGTTCGAGCCAGTATCGAGCTCACTGACAAGAGTCGTTGCAACCGCACCAAGAGAGAGAATCTTGGCGGGAATCGAGGAAAACACAAATTATCATGGGTCCTCCATTATATGCTTTATTTTATTATTTTTTGTTATAAATAAAGTAATGACCATCTACTATAAAAGGGGATCCTTGTAAGCTATGGACATACTGAATACACTGTAACAAAAGATATCTCCTTGTGCTTGTTTTACTTCATTTTATTCATTCTTTCTGATTCATTATTCTCATTTTCGTAATCAAGAATATTCGTATTGCTATCTCTCTATACGATTTGTATCAAAGGATATCACGTATCCTTAGAACCATACATAAATTTAATGTTATCCGATTTTTCGGGTAAACATCATATGTATCTTCATTTATCATGTCCGATTCATGTTCCATTTAGGTTCTGGTATGTTTTGTGTATGGGTTAATGTATAGTTGGAGAAAAAAGATGTCTTTCTTTCCTTTTCAACTTCTCATACCCGAGGTGGATGTGAAATTTTGTTAGTTTTCCTGTAATACTAGAAGATCTGCTTTTTTTTGTGTCAATTTTATCTTATAATTTGTGATCTCTTCCATGGCCATATTACCGTTGAATCCTTTCAAGGCCGTAGTTAGCATTTTTACCTGAGCGTGACTTTTTAATTTTCTATTGTATTTTTTAATTTGACTCTATCAAAATCACATTGAAGATGTTTATTCATTCCAATTAACTGTCTTTAATTCTATTCGCATTTTATGACTCTATTTCCTTTTAGTTGAAGTTTATATTTTTTTTCTTTCAAATTTTGTGTTGCTCATGACCCACACGTTGTAATATTATTTATTCTCATGTCTTTCCGTTTGTCAAGTTCTTTTTCAATTATATACGAATAAACTTGAAAACTAAGATATTATTTTTCATGATACAATAGAGTTTTATATTTTTCATAAAATACTAAAACATCAAACAACTAACATCTGATACATTATCGTGCTATATTTCATAATCGAATATACTTATACAATTCAACTAATATATTTTTGGTCAAATTCACATATGAATGACTCATAATTTTAAATTAGAAAAAAGGTACATGTATGAAATTATGATTTACATACATTATTTATTTCAGCAACTATTATCTCTCGCACAAACAACTACTACTTCTTTGTAGCTGTACACCGTGATAGTGATCTACTAAACATCCAAAGATGGCATACATTAACCGAATCTATGTACAACTTCTGCAAAATATTACTCTCATTCGGCAATAATTTTTTGATATGTATGCTAGCTGTTGTAAAAAGGACGAGGCTACAATTTCTTTTAAAAAAAGTAAAAACTGTAAGACTAGAACATTTACAACCATAACCGACGTTTTTCAAATTCACATTTAAATTATGTTTTTTTAAATATAAAAAGAGGAACTATTTTCAAATTGAATACTTGATATAATTATAAGATTGTATTAATTGGATTCATTTGAACATTACTTTTCAAATTGACTCGATAGCAGTTCTTTAGTATGATTGTCCTTTGCAATGACGATAGTATCGGTTGAATAAGTCCATCAGTCATTGGTTTGCAAAAATATTGTATTAATTAGTAAACTAGTTACACTATAAGCATGAAATGGCTCTCGATGCTGATGGAAGAAGACTTCTGGTGACATCCAACTCCCTGAGAGCGCCTATTTACCAGGTAAATTTGTTTCACACTGAATGATGTGTTTAGGTCCCTTTGCCTTGATTGTCTCAGAGCTTAACTATCTGTTCATAAGCTCTATAGGTTGGCCTATCTGAAAATGGAGATCACTTGTGGGGGTCACTGAATTGTCCCATCAGTAAACCAATTGGATCTCTCTTTTAATAGTTGTTTATGAGTATTTAACAAGTACTGTTGGGAATAGCACTGCACATATGGTGTCAGAAGGCCTAGGAGCAGTCTGATAATATGTAGTTTCATCGGTCCTTGCTATGCCCCCTCTTCATTTCCAGCTACTGTTATTTCTTGCCTTGCTGGTTTACTTCAGTTTAAAGATTTTTTGACTATAAATAATTCCTCTTAATTGTCTTAGGTCCGCGGTCATGCATATGGGATGAGAAGTCTTCCTCACAGTGCATCTATAACAACAGTAGACTGGCATCCGACGTCGCCCATCTTTTTGACTGGATCTGCAGATCACTCGGTTCGGGTTACATCTATGGCATGACAGCTTCTGGTTTCTCTTGTGAATTGTTGTTTCGGATAGTCCGATGAATAGAAAATGTAAATTTTATTTTGTTATCCAGTGTGTCTATGTGACCTTGAAATCTATCTGTCCAATTTTAAGTTTTGATTACAACCATTAGTCAAAGGCATCATTGAAAGCAACAGTAGAATATAAAGGTGCTAGCGCGGTGTAAATGAGGCTTACGGAAATTGTATACGGTTAAAACCAGGCCCACCCGATTTTACTATTTGATCGAGACCGGGAGGTTGCATCGAAGGACGACCTCGTAACAGAACAAATCATGAGGATAAGGTACCGAGTTCAGAATCGAGGTACCTGTCGAGATCGAGGCTAGTAGCGATTGAAGCCAAATGAGACAGACATCGAGCAAGATCGAAAATAGCACAATAACAGAAAGGCGAGATATCCGTGACTGGTCGAGGATCATGGCATAAATTTCGGAACAGACCAAACCAGAAACGGTTAATTAGCTAATCATGGGGTTTCCTTCTGTAATTAGAATTATACCATAAGTGAAATTTCTCTACTATTTAAAAGGGGTTCTAATCATTTGTAACACACATTATTCACAGATATCAAAGCAATATAATTCTCTTTCTCGTTTATACTATTGTTCATCAGCTTGTTATATTTTAATTGTTCTTGCATCAACCAGTTCGAGGGTATCCAAACTCGAGGGCTGAGTTCCATTCTAACACTAATTTGCTTTACTTTATAGTTCATTTCTGTTACTAATCTTCATATTTATCAATTGGTATTAAGTAAAATTACATGTCCTTAGAACCACATTATAAGTTTAATTGTTATCCAATTTTAAGGGTAAACAGTTTGGCGCCCACCGTGGGGCCAAGGATAATAGTGATTGCTTAATACTGATTCCAATAACACACACTGCTTTACACTTGTTCTCGTAAGAATCTTTGTTTTCAGGATAAACATGTCAAACTCACAAGCAACGCCTACACATGGTGACAACGACCCTAGATTTCACGGAAAAAATGACAATATAGCCGCCCCAGGGATCGAGGCGTCTCAGGCTGACCTCGAGGGAGCACCAATTGCAAATCCCGTCGATGTCAGTTCACATGTCGCCCTAAATGCAAATTTGGTCGTTGATCCCGAAGGTAGCATACGCAGGGAAGTTCTATCAAGTGGTCGAGGTACGCAGGGCAGAGAAGATGGTAGAGTTAGCCTCCAATTGATATTCGAAATGTTACAGGCTCAGCAAGCCGCTATAGCACAACTACAAAATCAGCACCGAACACCGAGTAGGATCGAACCAGAAGTCGTCCACAGGACCGAGCCTGTGCTGGAAAGGTCGAACGCCAATGAATCGGGGACTGACCCCGCCATTATGAAAATGCTCGAGGAGCTCACTAAACAGATTGAATCGGGAGAAACAAAAATCGAGACAAATGACAAGAAAGTAGAGACATACAACTCTCGGGTTGACCAAATACCTAGGGCACCGCCGATTCTAAAGAGTATGGATTCAAAGAAATTCGTACATAAGCCTTTCTCTCCAAGTGCGGCTCCGAAACCCATTCCGAAGAAATTCCGAATGCCAGAAATTCCAAAGTATAATGGGACCACCGACCCTAATAAGCATGTCACTTCTTATACATGCGCAATAAAAGGGAATGACTTGGAAGACGATGAGATTGAATCTGTTCTACTGAAGAAATTTGGAGAAACCTTGTCGAAAGGAGCAATGATATGGTACCACAATTTGCCGTCTAATTCCATCGATTCCTTCGCCATGCTTGCAGATTCCTTCGTAAAGATACATGCCGGAGCAATAAAGGTTACGACTAGGAAGTCGGACCTCTTCAAGGTGAAACAAAAAGACAACAAAATATTGAGGGAATTTGTAACTCGGTTCCAGATAGAACGCATGGAACTACCACCGATCACAGACGATTGGATTGTTCAAGCCTTTACTCAAGGTTTGAACGAACGAAGTTCGGTGGCATTACAATAACTAAAGCAGAATTTAATTGAATATCCAGCAGTAACCTGGGCCGATGTACATAATCGGTACTAGTCAAAGATCAGAGTCGAGAATGATCAATTGGGGACCCCTTCCGGTTCTGTTTATCCAAACAGGCCCGTCGGCAGAACTCAAAGGGATATCGACAGAGAACCCCAGTCGAACAGAGATCAGTATCAACCATACAACGCAGATCATAGAAACAGCGGCCCAGGACGCAATCCCATCCGAAATAATTGAAGGAACGATCGAGGACAGAGACCTTGAGGGCTCATGAGCAAAAGTGGCTTCGATAAACATGCCGATCCCACAAAAGCACCACGATTATCAGAATACAACTTCAGCATCGACACATCAGGTATTGTGTTAGTCATTGGGAGAATCAAAGATACTAGATGGCCCAGACTCCTACAAACCGATCCATCCCAAAGAAACACCAATCAAATATGCAAATACCATGGTACACATGGTCATAGAACCAAAGACTGCAGACAACTAAGGGAGGAGGTGGCCCGTCTATTCAACGAGGGTCACCTTCGAGAATTCTTGAGCGACCGAGCTAAAAACCATTTCAGAGACAGGGATGCAAATAGGAAAAACGAGCAGGAAGAACCACATCACGTGATTCACATGATCGTTGGTGGGGTCGATATTCCATAAGAGCCTGTGTTCAAATGTAGTAAAGTATCAATCACCAGGGAAAGACGAACTCGAGACTATGTGCCAGAAGGCACTTTATCAATCAATGATGAGGAAGCAGAAGGGATCTCACAACCCCACAATGATGCTTTGGTAATCTCTATCCTTATGAATAAAATTCAAGTTAAACGTGTTTTAATTGATCCAGGAAGCTCGGCCAATATTATTCGATCGAGGGTCGTGGAGCAGCTCGGCCTACAAGATCAGATCGTACCCGCAGCTCAGATTCTCAATGGCTTCAACATGGCGAGTGAAACAACTAAAGATGAAGTCATCCTACCAGTAAATGTAGCTAGAACTATTCAAGAAACAAAGTTCCATGTGATCGAGGGCGATATGAGATACAACGCACTGCTCAAAAGACCCTAGATTCACAATGTGAGGGCGGTCCCCTCAACCCTTCACCAAATGCTGAAGTTCCCAACACCGGATGAAGTAAAAATGGTGTATGGGGAACAACATGCTGCCAAAGAGATGTTCGCGGCCGACGAAGTAATACATGTATCGGCGCTTTCGTCAACAAACGGATCAGAGTCCAAAGGAAAATAGGAAGCTAAATAACAACCACAACCACCAGCCTCAACTCAGTCAGAGAAGCAGGGAACAGACGAGGACGATGACTACTGGACCCCTCGATCCTTCATAATCCCCGAGGATTCCGACGCCACCAAATCGACAGTCGAAGAGTTGGAGCAAGTCATACTGATCGAGCATCTACCAGATCAAAAGGTATACCTGGGTACGGGGTTAACCCCCGAGCTCAGGGAAAAACTCATTAAATTTCTTATCAATAATATGGATTGATTTTCTTGGGCCCACCTAGATATGACAGGGATCCCGCCGAAGATCACTACACTTCGACTGAGCTTGAACCCGAAGTTTTGCCTGGTAAAACAAAAGAAAAGGCCCCAGTCCGAGATAAAACATACATTCATCAAGGGCGAGGTAGCCAAACTTCTCAAAATAGGATCCATTCGGGAAGTAAAATATCCTGAATGGTTAGCAAACATAGTTGTAGTCCCTAAAAAGGGAAATAAACTTAGAATGTGCGTAGACTATAAAGATCTAAACAAAGCATGTCCTAAAGACTCTTTTCCTCTGCCGAATATCGATCGCATGATCGATGCCATGGCCGGCCACGAGATCCTTAGTTTTCTCGATGCCTACTCCGGGCTCAATCAAATACAAATGAACCCGAAGGATCAGGAAAAGACTTTGTTCATCACTAAGTACGACACCTATTGTTATAATGTAATGCCGTTTGGACTAAAAAATACTGGTGCAACTTATCAACGCTTAGTAAATCGAATGTTCGAAGAACAAATAGGTAAATCAATGGAGGTTTATATTATCGATATGCTAGTGAAGTCCCTGTGAGCATAGGACCATTTGACACATTTGCAGGAGACCTTCGATATACTAAGGAAATACTACATGAAACTCAACCCGGAGAAATATGCATTCGGGGTTGGCTCGGGCAAGTTCCTCGTCTTTATGGTATCAAATCGGGGGATCGAAATCAACCCCGATAAGATCAAGGAAATCGAAGAAATCATAGTCGTGTACAATGTTAAGGTCGTACAAAGATTAACAGGGTGCATAGCCGCCCTAGGCCAATTCATCTCGAGGTCTTCAGATAGAAGTCAAAGGTTCTTCTCACTGCTCAAAAAGAAGAACAATTTTGCATGGACCCCAGAATACCAACAAGTATTTAAAGAATTAAAGCAGTACCTCTCGAGCCCGCCACTGCTTCATACTCCGAAAGCGGACGAGCAACTCTACTTGTACTTAGCAGTGTCGGAAATCGCGGTAAGTGGAGTCCTAATTCGAGAAGAGCAAGGTATGCAATTTTTTGTTTACTATGTTAGTCAAACTTTAGGTGAGGCCCAGACCCTGTACCCACACTTAGAAAAATTAGCACTTGCCCTAATAAGCGCCTCTAGGAAATTAAAACCATATTTTCAGTGTCACCCGATCTATGTGGTGACTACTTATCCCCTTCGCAATATTTTGCATAAGCCTGAACTTTCGGGCCGATTGGACAAATGGGACGTCAAGATCAGTGGGTACGATATTGAGTATCGACCTCGAACGGCCATCGAGTCTCAAATCTTAGCGGACTTCGTGGACGACTTTACGCCAGCACTCGTACTCGAGGTCGAAAAGGAACTATTATTAAAGTCGGGTACATCATCAGGGTGTGGACCCTCTTCACAGACGGCGCTTCGAACGTGAAGGGGTCCGGGCTAGGCATCGTTTTGAAGCTGCCCACGGGTAATACAATTAGACAAACTATCAAAACTTACAAGTTAACTAACAATGAGGCCGAGTATGAGGCCATAATTACAGGTCTCGAGCTAGCTAAAGGTTTGGGAGCAGATGTCATCGAGGCCAAATGTGACTCCCTGCTTGTAGTAAACCAAGTCAACAGAATCTTCGAGGTTCGAGAAGATCGAATGCAGAGGTCGGCCTCACATCAGCTCAGCTCTGCTCGGGACTTTGAAAATGCCTCCTGATGGAGTGCCAAAGCATATACAAAAAAAAAGAAGGAAATTAGACAGGAAGAGAAGAAATAAACTAAGTATAATATCGACAAAGGGAGTTGAGACTCACCCGATTCAAGGCTTGTTGAGCCTTATCGAGTAGACTTGATGCTTCACTCAGGTCCGTAGCATCCTCGACCCTGATAAAGTAACCACTTAAGGGGTCCTCCCCTCCATGGGCCCCGTCTACTTCGGGAGTCCTCGTAGCTTGGGCCTCTCGAATTGCCTCCTTGGAAAATGCAGGGAGAATCGGCGAGTCTCCAATATCTATTGCCCCAAGTGAGCCACTTGGGGTGTTCTCCTCGCTGCGAAGGGCCTCGGAGCCGGGCCCTTCAGACATACCCACTTTTTTCTCATCTCTGCGGGAGGCATCTTCGATCTTCAATGACTCGGGGACTTTGCCCGAGTCCTTTTCCAAAACCCCCTCAGCTCGAGGCGGAATCTCCTCAACCACCACCGACTCAGCGGTCTTTGGGGCCTCGATGGTTTTCTTCACTCGGGCCACCAGTTCCGAGCCATCATCTTCATCTTCTTCATCTTCCTCCCTTAGCCGTTGAATCACATCCGCAGGCAGGGCAACAGTGTCTTTCTTCGGCTTACGAACCAGATTCTTCTTAGGCTTTGGATCCTCGGAGGTTGAGGTCCTTTTCCTCTTCTTATCCTTCGCCAGCTTCAGAACCGGGGTCGAAGTCTCCTCCTCACCAGATGGGGGCCTCATGACCGCATCCTTGCCCAGGCCTGTACAGGATAAAATTGAATAAGTAGAAGAAGGGCATCTTAATCAAATCATCGAATACACAAAAAATGGGCTTACCATGAGCGCTCGGCGTATGTAGAGGTCGAGGACAGGTTCCGAACCCAGATCTCGAGGTCGGGAATCGCACGGGGCATCCAAGCGACCGCTACATCATGGAAAAAGACATCAATGAGAAAAGACAAAGGAACAAATAATACATGGAAGCTAACAGTGAGACGGTACTTACAATTCATGTTCCATTTCTCAGGAAATGGCAACTTTTCGGCTGGGATTAGGTCGGAAGTCCTCACTCGAACGAACAGGTCCATCTAGCCTCGATCCTTATCTTCGTCTATGCTTGAGAACAGCACAAAGTAGCCCGACGTTGGAGTTTTATTAATCCACCTTGATAGAGGCGAGGGCTATACAATATGATAAGGTGATTGAGGGTGAAAAGGAGCCCCTCGACTTTGCTCATGAAGAATCGAATAGAATAACAATTCGCCAAAAGGAATGATAGATTTGTCCTAGGGTTATTTGATATTGACGGCAAAAATCAATGATGACGGGGTCGAGGGGGTTCAGTGTGAAAGGGTAAGTGTAAACACTTAAGAAACTCTTCCACATGGGTGGTGATGTCTTCTTCGGGGATCGAGATCACCACCTCTTTGCCCTCCCAGTTGCAGTCTTTCTTTACCTGCTTAAGGTATCCCTCAGTTATCGAGCATATATACCTCGACATTGGCTCGCATCGACTAGGAATCGACGAGGCTTTATCGGTTTTGAAATCAGAGTTTAGCGTGCAACCCCCAGGAATGCATTACTCAAGACGGGGTTCCACCGGCGTTTTCCCGCCGGCCGGTTGAGAAGATGAAGCGACTTCTTTTTGTGGTACCGTTTTCGATGTTTTTGCCATTTTTGTGTAAGTTTGAAGAAGAGGAAGATAATAGGACTAGACGTTTGAGAAATAATTAACAGCAAAACCTGAAGATTTGTAGAAGGGAAGAACTTAAGAGATGTAAAAGCTTTGGTGATTAGAAGGAAGTGAAAGTAAAGTCTGAATCAATGAGAAATGGGTCTATTTATTGGATTCACGGCGATGGTTCAAAGGAACTAGTGGCCGACCACCAACTGACACTCATTAATGACTTGGGGAACTGTACCGACGGGACGTTTCGGTCACTCCCATCGCTTACGTCACGAGGATGTCGTCATGACAGGTCGAGATAGAAAATCGAAGGCTCAATTCGTTTCTTGTGATTTCACTCCAAAAATGAGGGGACTATATGTATATGGTTAAAACCGGACCCACCCGATTTTATAATTAACCGAGACCGGGAGGTTGCATCGAAGGACGGCCTCGTAACAGAACAAATCACGAGGATAAGGTACCGAGTTCAGAATCGAGGTACCTGTCGAGATCGAGGCTAGTAGCAATCGAAGTCAAATGATACAAACATCGAGCAAGATCGAAGATAGCACAATAACAGAAAGGCGAGATATCCGTGACTGATCGAGGATCATGGCGTAAATCTCGGAACGGATCAAATCAGAAACGGTTAATTAGCTAATCATGGGATTTCCTTATGTAATTAGAATTATACCATAAGTGGAATTCCTCTACTATTTAAAGCGGGGTTCTAATCATTTGTAACACACATTGTTCACATATATCAAAGCAATATAATTCTCTTTCTCATTTATACTATTGTTCATCAGCTTGTTATATTTTAATTGTTCTTGCATCAACCTGTTCGAGGGTATCCAAACTCGAGGATTGAGTTCCATTCTAACACTGGTTTGCTTTACTTTATAGTTCATTTCTGTTATTAATCTTTATATTTATCAATTGGTATTAAGTGAAATCACGTGTCCTTAGAACCACATTATAAGTTTAATTATTATCCAATTTTAAGGGTAAACAGAAATATTAACAGGAAAAAAGGACACAGAAGAAGAGAGGTCTTGCTTCATGGACTCTTTGGGACCTTACGATGCCGCAAAAACCCTTCGGGCGAGGAGATTGTGCAATAGTGGATCAAATGATTTTGCTGTATCCAATCAGTATGTATTAGCTTGCCTTTGAACTATCGGATACATTGACGAGGGAGTAGCTGCAAGTAATTAAATATATTTAGAATGATTTTAGATTAATTTGCTTATTGTATGTGTTTATTAAGTTAGTTTCATCGGTCAGTGTTTTGATTGTCATGAAAACAAATCAACTTTTGGAGCGCTGTCTATTGCCTCAAGATAAGTGATTAATTAACTTATTTAGATAGTTAAAAGTAGAATCTAGTAGATTTCATAATCCAAATCAAACAGGTATTAATACCCGTTCTCTACGATCTCAAAAAACGTCAACCTTGACAATTGATGATCGAAAAAAATCAAAATTATCCCTATCGTTTGAAAATAGTTTATATTTACCCTCCGTCCATATATTGGACTAAAAATACACGCGACATTATTTTTAAACCTAAAGCTACCACGTTTTAACGGTGCAACATGTGGGCCACAAAATTGATGCGTTATAATTTTTTTAACTGGGCCATGCGGCTCTCTTGTTCAACCAAATTTGAGTATAATATTCGCCCCATTAACCAAATTCGACCTTGTTTTTTGCTACTGCCGTAAAAATAACCCTTAACCCCACCAACCAAACTCCTCTCTTACCATTTCTCTTCTCGATTGGTCTGAGGTGGTTCAGATGGCAATTTTAGGGATCCGGTAAGGTTAGTTGGTCGCTTTGATTTGGTGGACGAAACTGAAGAATCTTTCATTTTTAGCATTATTTTGCAATCTTTCTTCGATTAATGTTGTGTTTACAACTTGAAGTTTAAAAATTATAGGGTTTGTTAATATTTGGGAACCTGCAACTATTGTCTCTTTCTTGGGGTTTAATATGTTATCTGATTTATTTTCTGTACATTTATAGATTTGTTTTTCACTCTTGTTTGTGGTTGTCCATGTCCTCTTTGTCCGATATGTAAGAAGTATGGGTTTTTTGGGATTTGTATATCTGTTATAGGGGGTTTCATTTTTTCTTTATTGCTTGATATATTTAGACTTTATGCCTTGGATACTGTTGATGTGATCCCTTATTCCCTTATTTTTTGTTATTGCATGTGGATGTATCCGGTGTTTTAAAAGGCGTGGGCGTAAGGCGAGACGTTTTACATATGACTCAGTGGGTCATAAGCCCCGAGGCGTGGGGCGTAAGCCCCGAGACGTGGGGCGTAAGCCCCATAGGTATTTAGTTTTTAATATTTTATAAAATAATATAATGACAACAAATATTTATAAACATGTAAAATTGCATAAATATTGAAGAAAACTATATATATGTGTGCTCCATCCCCACAAAAAACTAATCAAAACAATCTATTATACGTTACTTACAAGTACAAGTAATTTGAGTCAAAGAATAAAGTTTTCTATATGGAGGAACAAAAAGGATGATTAACCTACAATTTGAACTTTGAATTTGCTCCTATGAAAAAGAATGTAGTTCTCTTTGTATTTGTAAAAAAAATTAAATATTCGTTACTTTTGGGAGATATAAGCAGACTAGCGGACAAGATAAAAAATTGAAAAAATCATGAATTAAGGTTTAAATCAATAGAAAGGGTCTTTACTTTTAAATTTAATACTTTTGAGTTCCTTTTTAAACCTTTTGAGTAATTATCAAACTGACTTTTGAGAATTTGGATATTATATAAAGGACTGATTTAACAAATTTTGTTTTAATTTGAAAAAGTCTTTGGGGCTTACTCCTTACTAAAAAAACGGGCCCCGAACGCCCGGGTGTACGCCCCAAACGCCTGGGCGTATGCCCCGCAATGCGAGGCGTACGCCTCTTGAGACTTTCGCCCCATACCATCGTCCCGGGGCTAGCCCCAGAAACACTTTTTAAAACAGAGGATGTATCTGAAGAATGATGATAAATTGAACTTCTATTTTAATCATGGGGATGTTTGGGAATTGGTACCTAAGCTATCTTATTCTAAAAGAGATATGCACGTGTTGAGTAGGTATGAAATAGACCATCTTTCTAACATTGATTTGTGTAGAGAATTTTGAGATACTACCGAGTAGAAAATCAGGCAAAGAATCATATAAATCAGGCAGAGAATCAGATCCAATGATTTCCATTTGAGATTCTAAAAGATTACCTCTTGATTGGTATTGCAATAATCTTGGTTGAAAGGATTTTGTGGATCTTAGTTTTTATTGCATTTGATTTTAATAATAAGAAGATTCTAGTATTAGAGGTGGCCTATAAATAGCACTTTAGAACTCATTGTAAATCATCTTGAAGAGAATAACAGTTTTCTCCTTAAGATTACTCTAAATACTTGCTTCTTTCTGTTGGCTTTGTCGTGAGCAGATTTCTTTGATAAGACTATTCATGAAATAGTCTTCTATTCATCTAATTGTTTTCTTGTTTATACGTCCTACATTACTTCTCGTATCCGAGCCCAGGTTCAGCGAGACGGGTATGGCGATGACAGAGTGATGATGCGAGACTCGGTTTGGATACGCGCTTACAATAAGAAGCTAGTTGTGGTTTTGGTCGCCATAAATATTCTAACGATGTGGGTGGCACACAGTTAATCTCAAAAATTGACTCGTTGATTGTGGCAATGGGCCACATGGAACTTAGTTCAAGGGGGAGAACCGTGAATCGTGATAGTGAGCCACGTGGAACTTAGTTCGAGTGAGAGATTGTTGGGTACTGTGCGAACAAAGTCCCACATTGGTAGTTGAATAGATTGGAAGCCAACATATAACGTGTATGGATTTCTTAATGGGGTGAGGCTTTTTGAGAAAATCCGTGCGGGTTTGGCTCAAAGCGGATATTATCATACCACGTTACGAGTATCTTTGGGTCATTTTAGCCCAACAATTGATATCAGAGCCAACGCTTTTCCTATGGCTGACAGAGTAACTGGAAGATCCCGTGACAACTAGGTAGGAGGAGATGATCAAGGAAATGAAGTAACTACTATTACTACTACTTCCTTGATCTTCCAAGAGAAGTTTCGCTCGCTGCGGGAATATCTTGATCGTAGATTAGACGAGATGAATCTACGTATAGATTTTCATAATACAAGTAGGAGGCCAAGAGGTGAAGCTGGGGAATTTGCCCAAGCATCACATGTGGAAGGACGTGACATTGTCCGTCCATGTCAACGACAAGCCATTCTAGAAGACACGGAGGATGACGAAGAAGAAGATCTTGAGTCGTTCAACAGGGGGAGAGGAAATCAGCAACGTCAAGCTGCACAACGATTTCCTCGAAATGAGGAGTTTCGCCTAAAGGTAGATCTTCCTACTTTTGCTGGCAATCTGAATATTGAGGGGTTCATGGATTGGATTACAGAAGTGGATAGATTCTTTGACTATATGGAGATTCCTGAGGAGCATAGGGTCAAACTAGTAGCCTATAGGTTAAAGGGTGCAGCATTTTCCTGGTGGGAACGTCTACATGACACAAGACGTCGTGTAGGAAAGGGTCAAGTTCGTACTTGGTATCGAATGAAGAAACTGCTAAAGGTTCGATTTTTGCCCCCAGATTATGAGCAATATTTTTTTCTACAGTATCAATGGTGCAGCCAAGGTGACAGATCTGTGCATGATTATACCACTAAATTCATGAGGCTTGCTGAACGCAACAATCTGATAGAGTTTGATAGCCAACAAGTAGCTAGATATATCAATAGATTAAAGCCCACAATCCAGGAAAAGATTGGTGTACAGATGTTGGCAAATGTTGCCGAAGCACAAAATATGGCATTAAAGGAAGAGCTGATGATGCAAGAGAAGAAGGGAGATTGGAGCAGGAAGAATCGCTTTTCGTCCGCACCAACGACTGTTGACTAGGATGCACCCACCTATAATTCCCAGAAACAAGCAAAAAAAATTTGCTAATGATAGAGTTGTTGGAAAAAGACCAGTGAATGAAGCACACAAGCAAACACAGGTGAATCTATATGCTAGACCAACTACTGGAAAGTGCTACGGTTGTCATCAAACTGGCATAACTCTAGTGATTGTCCACAGAGGAAGGAATCAACATAGTATAGCGGGGAGAACACATAGAAGATGGTGAGGAGGGTGATGAATTGATATGTGGGCCTGATGGTGACAGTGATGGCGAGGATTTTGATGAAAGACATATCTATGTAGTTCGAAAGATGATGCTAGTCCCAAAGAAGGAAGAGATGACTCAGCACCACGTACTCTTTCGCGCCAGGTGTACAATCAACGACAATATTTGTAACTTGATAATTGATGGTGGTAGTAAAAAGAAAATCACTGAAAAAAGTATTATTGAGAAGCTATAGTTACTACTGGGGAAACATCCAAATCCTTACAACATTGGATGGATCAAAACAGTAGGAAATATCCAACTAATAGAAAGATGCATAGTTTCTCTCTCAATTGGGAAGTACAAAGATGAAGTGTAGTGCAATGTGGTAGACATGGATGCATGTCATCTGTTATTTGGTAGGCCGTAGCAGTTATACAAGGATGCTCACCATTTTGGATGAATGGTGTCGGCCATGAGAAATACTAAAGAAGCTAGGTTCCCGAAACCAATCCGGTTGGATCCTAGCCAAAGAGATCCTAATCTATGGTGTGAATTCTATAGGACTCACGGCCATAAGACTGGGGATTGCCGACATCTTCGAGAAGAAGTGGCAACGTTGCTGAAGATTGGTCACCTAAGAGAGTTCTTAAGCGACCGTGCCACGAACAACTATGTGAGAAGCCTGGATAATGCAAAGCCATCAAAACTGACAGCGGGGTCACCCGGGATGAAAATCAACATGATATTCAGAGGAAATGAAGTCAATAGGGTGACATTTTTGGCAGAAAAGAAGACGAAGATATCAGTGACTCATGGCAAGACGATCCGAGAATTCTAAGAAGATTACATCACCTTCACGGAAGAAGATGCTGATGGACTTCTTCTACCGCACAATGATGCTCTTGTAATTTATCTTAATATTTTAGGTTTCAAAATTAAGCGTGTTTTGGTTGATCCAGGAAGTTTAGCCAACATCATACAATGGATAGTCCTGGAGCAAGCGAAGTTAATCAAAAATATAATTCCGGCGGCAAAGCTCCTAGCTAGCTTCAATCTAACAAGTGTGACAACCCGAGGAGAAATTTTATTGCCACCCATGTCGAAGGTGTAATGAAGACTACCTTGTTCGAAGTGGTAGATGTCGACATGGGTTATAATGTAATCCTCAGGAGGCTGTGGATACATGAAATGAAGACCGTGCCTTCAACCTACCATAAATTATTGATGTTTCCGACACCAAAAGGGATCAAGCATATAAGAGGAGATCAACCGGATGCAAGGGATATGAAAGCAGTAACTGTTTCCAGCAACAAGGGCAAAGAAACCAACAAATAGCAATTACAGGATCCGGTGCCTTCTCCCTTTCCAACTGAACATGATAAAGACGAGGAGTCATCAGAATTATATCAGGTGCCAAGATCTTTTTAGGCACCAAAGGAGATGGATGCAACCAAGTCAACTGCAGAAGAGCTCGAGCAAGTGGCTTTGTTCGAAGAGTTTTTGGAAAGGAATTCCATTTAGGAACAGGGTTAAGTCCCGAACTCAGGTTAAAACCTATAGATTTTCTTAAATCTAACGTTGATTGCTTTGTTTGGTCACATTCAGATATTCCATGTATTCCATTGGAGATGGCTGTCCACAAACTGAGTCTGGATCCAAACTTACCTCTAGTAATCCAAAAGAAACGACCGATAGCAGAGATCAGAAACAGGTTCTTTAAGAAAGAGGTAACCCGATTACATAACATCAATTCAATTCGAGTGGTAAAGTACCCGGATTGACTAGTTATCGTAGTAGTAGTAGTGCCTAAGAAGAATAACAAATTCAGGATGTACGTAGACTATAAGGATTTGAATAAAGCGTGCCCCAAAGACTCTTTCCCATTCCTAAACATTGATCAAATGATTGATGCTACAGCCGTACACGAGTTAATGAGTTTTCTTGATGCTGAGTCTCGAAATACTTTAGTAGTTGTTGAAGATTGCTCTAGTAGTTGATGAAGATTGCTCTAGAAGTTGAGAAAGTTTTTTTTTTGTTTTTCCATGGTAATTTGTTGTGGGGTAGATTGGTGAAAAGGGAAAAGAAGGTGTGCATACTTTTAGTTTTTTTTCAAATGGGTACTTAAGAGGTGAAAATGGTTTAAGACACTTGTGCAAATTTTTATTTTTAGGGAAAAGGGGAAATATGGAAGGGTTGTTGGCTAAAAAGGTTTAGAAGACATATGCAAATTATTTCTTGGCTCACGATTACGCATTATGCTTGTCTTTAACCCTTCTAGCCTTCGTTTTTGCAGCTCTTGTGAAGTATCTCTTTGCGTGCAGATCATCTTCCTCTATAATTCCTACTTTTTTACCTTTCTTCTTCTGTGACGAAATACCGGTATCCCCATTTAAATTGATCTTCACAATTTCAGCTGGATTAATATCATAGGGGTCTGGTGAGTCTTAACATTTCCTTGTATTCCTTAAGTGTTGCCTGAACATTTTTCCAATGGGGGTGAGTGGAATAATAATTCCAACTTCCTTCCTCTCCTGGCCATATTTTCTCTCACCATTTTCTTCCTCATACAAAATCGCGCTCCAGTATTTATTGCTGGCATCTGTTTATAATATTTTCTTTCTATTGGAGGGAATGTGCAAAGATTTGACACTTTGAGATACCTCTTTTATTTTTCTAACTGCATCACTTTGCTCTTTGCCCCATAGCTGGGCATTCTTCTTCAATATTTTTGTGAGAGAAGAAATATATGTGAAAACATTAGGAATAACATCTCTCACATTATTTATTTGTTACATTTTGCGTTTTCGTACATTAAAGTTTCGTCGTAAGTTAATCGACGTAGGCTCGGGAATGAGATTATTTTTGAGGTTATAAGTATTTATGCTATTTATAACAGGTGATAAGTAAGTGCCGTGAATGTTAGAGAGTAAACAAATCGAAGAAAATGAGTTTCGTTGAAGTTTGACAATTTGGGATAAAATACGGTCCAAGCTATAATACCCTGTATTTATGGACTAGTACCATACAATGTACCCCATGATCATGATAGTAAAGTATATAAAGTGTGTTAAAAGTGATTAGTATTTTAAGTAATTTGAGATAATTCTTAATTATATGGGTAACTGGTTAATTATTAGTTTAGTGGGAGATTAATAAGCTAATTAGAAAATTGTGGATAAGCTTAATACCTCCCAATGTGGCAGCAAGTAGGGGCTCTTAATCAAGCCTAATATTACTAGGTAAGTTATGTGGCTAGGTGGAATATTTAGGTAATTCTTTGGCTAAGTCATCTTATAAAGTGGGGCCCACACCCACTATGATAAAGACACCTCCCTATATTATTAAAGGGAAATGTATATGCTTGCTAGTAACGGATAGAAATTCTCAAAAAGGAATTCTTATAAACCCCTACAATGCTATAGCAGCGTGAGTTGCAAATTCTAAGGGAGCACGGTACAATCTTTCTCAAGAACATCATACGAATTTTTCCCTACTTCGATCCATCGTTACGTGTTTTGTCGCGATTGACGTGTGTTAGCGGAATTGCCAAGAGAATCAGCTGAGGTATGTTAAGGCTATCCCTTCTTTCATTTTGGTATGATCTATATGATACACCGAAATGAGAAAACGAGCAACTTTCATAAATGACTCTATTTATAGAAGTACTAGGGGTGCCTATGTTATTGATTCCCCATGTGTCCTATATTCATGAGTCTCAGAAAATACGTAAGTTGATAAAGTTTATCCGAAGGTATATTGATCTTATGACATTCCGAAAAATCTTATTAACTTACTTCTTATGCATTTCATTCATTTATACATGTACATTGACCCATTACCAGATGACGTTATATATGCGTATATTATATGTATATGGGATATGAAAAAAGGTTACGGCGTTATATACGCACCACCACCTGATCAGTTGGTATATATTGATGATTTCGCCCACAGAGGCGGGGATGATATGATGGGATGCCCTCAGAGGCTTGATGATGTTATGTATAGATATATCTATGCATGATACGACATTTATACGCACATGCATGACTTTATAATATTTCAGGACTCACAAAGTTATTTAGACTTACACGCGGATTCCTCTACTCCATGTTTCCTTTATGTATTTTATACTAATTTTCATGCCTTACATACTTAGTACATTATTCATACTGACGCACCTATTTCCTGGGGCCTGCGTTTCATGCCCGTAGGTGTAGGTAAACAGGCTGACGATTTCCCTTCTTAGGATCCTGCTCAGCGAGAGCTGGCGTGATCTATTTGATTCGGAGCTTCTTTTAGGTTTTGGTACGATATGCTTGTATACATATATGGGTATGATGTGGCCCAGTCCCATCCTTTATATAGATGTACACTCTATTAGAGGTCTGTAGATAGTCATGTATAGTTGGATAGTATATGGCCTTATCGGCTCGCCCTACCGTATTCCGTATATATACATACATATATCTTTTGGGCACATTTTCTTGCGTATGTTATTCACACAATTAAGTAGTTTGCTACCAGACGTTATGCATTTCCTACACTTATTTCATGTTTTATCTTAGACGTATGCTTAGGGGTGTTCGATAGGTAGGCTCGGGCACTCGTCATGGCCCATGGGTTTGGGTCGTGACATTATTATTCCCAAAAATTACTGGATTTGCTTCGACATGAAACCAATATCGGGGAACTTGAGAAGTTCCTGAGAAATGTGACGACCTAGAGTGTATTCTCCATGGGTAAAATGTATGACAAAAAACTCAATTGTATTACTTTTGCAAAAATCATTTTTTTGGCTGAAAGCATGATGCCATTTTTCGCACTTAAAGAAGCAAAATGATTGAGCAAACTAATGTGCTCCTCCCGAGTATCACTGAATAGAAAAATATCATCAATCTAAATAAGTGATGTGTGGAGGATGGGCTGAAATATTTTTATCATGGCCTTTTGAAACAAAGATGGAGCAGTTTTTAAATCGAAAGGCATGATCTTCACTTAAAATGGTGATCGGGAATGTAAATTTTTTTCCCTATCATCCGGGTGGATTCCCAACTACCAAAATCTTAATTTGAGATCAAACTTAGAAAAATATTTTGCCTTGGCAAGTTGGGAGAAAAGGGTGATTGTTCGGGATAGGAAATTTATCATCCAAAAGAAAATGATTGAGTGGTTGGTAATTAATTACCAATCTCAGATTACCTCTTATTTGCTCGTCTCTTTTGTTGACATAAAATGCTTTGCACGCCCATTGTGAATTTAATAGCTCAATGAGATCAAAATTCACTATTTCTTGGCACTCTTTTTTTGCAAGCTGAAGGTAGTCGGGATTCATACCAGAGTGACTTGCCTTTGTAGAATTGATATTCTCATTTTTCTTGAAAGGCAACTTGATGAAGAACTCTTCATTTTTCCATAAAGGATTGTCACAGTTGGTTAAGAATTCAGTGTGAGATTCTACACAGGAGTACTGTGTGATTTGTGCTTCATTTTCCCGTACTTGATCTTCTTCTATGAGCTGGAACAATCTTGGACTGCACATTATGGCTTGAATTGATTTTTGAATGCTATTCCATTGGCTTTGATTTGGAGTTTGTCCTAAAAAAACTCTATAAATGTCAAAACCAATAATCAAATCCTTGCTTAGGACATCTGACCCAATCAATTTGGTCCTGTACTTCAGTCCTGGGAAGAATTCGATAGTGATCGGGTGCTTGGTAATGACAGTTGTGGCCAGAATTTCATTTGAGGATGTGTTGAACTTCTTGAAGTACGTCACCCAATACTTATCTGGAAAGTCCGCAAGATTAATGAGCGAGGAGGCTGCTCCCGTGTAAAAGAAAGCTATGACATATGTTAGTTTGTCCCACTTGGATGCATACACCTTGATTTCTGCTTCCGGAATCACCGTGATGCTGTGAATCTCCTCTTTTACCTTTGGCCTTGGTTCTGAATTTGGTATTGATCATCACCATATTCCTCATAAACATCTAGGGAAAAGAGAGTCTGTTATGTGAGCTCATCTTCAAGTGAAACTCTGATTCAAGGTCGTCATCCTCACTGAAATGAACGCCTGTGTAATCTGCAATTTTAGAGAGAAGCCTAATAGAC